TTCTCTTATATATATATATATATATATATATATATATATATATTTGATACACTTGGCCTTATTAACATCTGTAGTCTACATTTGTATTTAATAAGAAAAATATAATGATGCAATTTATAACTTTATTAATAGCAATTTTTATGAAATATAAATTATTAATCATGAAATATTTCAGCCTTGAAAAACATCATAATTTAATACTATGATAAGCAGAAAAATGAACCAATGAGTTTTCATTTTCATTTGATATTGCAACAAAGATCCATGAAAATTTCGAACATTGATTATCATTAAAATGACACGAAAATAGTGTTCTTACATTTCTTGGCTCATAACAGATAATAGTAAAACGTATTCTCACGTTCTCTTTAACTTAAATAGTGATATCTAGCCGATTTGCAGAGAATGTATTCTGTTTCTCCTTGCGCTCTTTAGCACCGAGCGTAGAACTCGTTTTATGGGTTTTCACTTCCGGCTTATTTCGGAGCCGGAAAGAATTCATACGCGGATGCACACACTGTCATAAATCCTCGTTTACATTCATCCAGACTGTAATTTACGGCAAACATGTCTGAATTATGCTACGCAAAGCTGGACGATGACCATTGTTAGAAATTTCAATTTTTTCTTTTAATTGTCATATCAAAAGTTTCAATTGAAATTGTATACTTTCTAACAAATAATTCTAAAAAAAAAAAAAAAGAATATTTGAATATCGGACGACTCGAGCAAGGCTGTCGATACATTACTCTCTCTACCACTAAAAGTGGTTTCACTCTGCAATAAATTTTCCCAGAAGAAAATTTTTATGGAGGTCATATATTTTTCTCATGCAGAAATCATGCCGGAGTAAAACTGAATTATGATAAAAAGATATATAAAAATAAGATTATAACGATATATAGAAGTAATAGCATGTCATAAACTTTGTCTTGCAACTCTGAAAATAGACGTAGAGTATTCAAATGTAATATTTATGCAACTTTTTATAATATTTCTGATTTGATTTTTCCAAATACCATAAAAGATTTGAATACTCACAAATATAAATAAAAAAAAACCTAACTGTAAATATTTAAAATAAAGGCAAGAGGAACCGAACTTAAAAGTTCCCAAATTTAAATCCCCTCGTATGTTCTACATTCTTCATACGAACGCAATTACTTTCAGGTGGCCACGGGGATGTTATAATATCAAGTTCCGGAGGCGGTTACGGAGGTGGTGGATATGGAGGCGGCGGTGGTGGATCAATTATCGAGCATCATGGTGGCGGAGGGGGATTCGGTGGAGGCGGTGGCGGAGCAATTATCGAGCATCATGGTGGTGGAGGAGGATACGGAGGAGGTGGTGGCGGAGCCATAATTGAGCATCATGGCGGTGGAGGATTTGGGGGCGGAGGCGGTGGATACGGAGGTGGAGGGGGACATGGAGGTGGAGGAGGAATCATCGAACATCACGGTGGCGGTGAATACGGAGGTGGAGGCGGAGGTTCGATGATCATCACGGCGGCGGAGGATTTGGAGGCGGAGGTGGATACGGAGGCGGTGGAGGAATCATCGAACACCATGGTGGCGGAGGTTTTGGAGGTGGAGGCGGAGGATACGGAGGCGGAGGATTCGATGACCACCACGGTGGTGGAGGTTTCGGTGGTGGTGGTGGTGGTGGTTTTGATGATCACCACGGTGGAGGAGGATTTGGAGGTGGAGGTGGAGGCGGATATGGAAATAGTGGCGGTGGATTCGATGCACACCATGGCGGAGGTGGTTTTGGAGGTGGTGGATTCGATGATCACCATGATGGCGGAGGGTTTGGAGGAGGCGGTGGATTCGGAGGTGGTGGCTATGGTGGTGGCGGTGGTGTCGAACACCATGCTATTAGCAACAGTATATCGTCAGGATTCGGCAGCAGGTAAGAAAAGATACTTTTCTATTATTATTCACAATTGCTTAAACGAGGGAAAAATTTTCTCTCACTGATTTTTTCTTTTTTATAGTATTACTTTCTTTTTAACTTGTTAAAAATTGATTAGACTTCAATTTTTCTATAATAATGAATGAATGGAATAATAATTTATTATTCTTGTTTTTAAATTGAAAATTAGAAAATATTTCCTGTAATTTTATCATTTCTTTTTAACTTCCAAGTATCTTTTAAAAATATTAATAATACATATAACTAATGAAATATAAGTAACTATATATAGATACTTGATGTCAAATATAATTGATATTTGTTAAAAACGTTTCACTGGTAATCTATATTCATTCATATTTGGTTTAAACCTTTTCAATCAGTTTCAAAAATTTAAATAAATTCCTTCTTACCAAGATAATCTTATACATATTAAAGATATTGTAGAAATTACTAAACGCAATGAGAAATTAATTGATTTTAAATTTTTGACATTAATTTTAAATGAATTACTAACAATTTTAATTTACATTTCAGCGGACATGGCGGCGGTGGTGGTGGTGGCGGCGGTTTCTCAGGCTACCATAAGAAAAAATAAGAACGATCGATGGATTAAGAACTGTCGTATTTCCGATCGTATTTGACCGACTTTTGATATCGAAACGATCAAACGTTCCTTGTGCCGTGTTTTCAGCGCACGATCACGTGATTCTCGATCGTCACAGCACTGCCAGTACATAATTGAACGCCGATTCAAAACGATCGTTCCGATTTCCCCTCATTCTCGACGACCGACTTGTTTTCCCTCTTGTCGATAGACTTCGAGAGACTCCATTTGTCATTTTCACTTTCGTTTTTAGATGCACGGATTTCATGTTATCCTGTGATGTTGCACGTAGCAGAGGAAATGGAAAGTTTTAGAAATTCGATCCAGCAAAATTAATATAGCCATAGTATCGACCATGTCGATTTAGCGCGCCAAGTGAAATCGTAATAAAAAGAAAAGACGGTTAATTTTTTTAATGTAATAGAAGAATTTTCAAGAAAATTTAGATTTTCACGAGGAAAAAGTGATGGAAATGAAATTAATGGACAATTTTTTTGTTTTTTTTTTATAATTTAATCATTCGAAGATTGAGATCACAATTCCGTCCAATGTTTTTAATTATTTTAATGCATATGCTTTGCAATTGCGACTCATCTACGTGATCGTTTACTCGTTATTGTGTTTTGTATATATTATAAATTGTGTAAATATTTTTCATTTACTGTTATTTTTAATAAATTGTTTTGTATATGTTTTGTAAAATTTCATATCTTTTCCTTTTTTTCGATTTCTTAATATGAAAAATGTATCTATCCTTTAATCCTTTAATCATTAATATATTTTATTAAATTAAAAATGTTGTCTATAATATAGAATCATCTTTATATAAATTTTTTATATAAGGGTTAAACATAAAAATATTTGAATATTATATAAATTAAAAAAAAAAAAAAAAAAGAAATGATATTCGTTTTAAGAATAAAGAAAGAATAAATTTAAGAAAAAATCCGTTTCAAATTTCTCAATGACAATCTTTTACCATATTATTAAAACTTAAAAGTAATTTAAATTATTAAAGTTATATTCAATTTTAGATATAAATATTTATTCAACACAATAAAAAGAAATATTCTCGTAAGAATAAATCAGTTTTAATTTGATAATGTAATATAGTCATTATTACATTTATTATTCTAATAAAGTGTTATAGTTATAAAGATTAAATATCAAAGCTAAAAATTTCTCATTTTTCGTTATCTGCAAAGATTGTGTATTTTCGTTGATCTGTGCAATTGTACGGATTTTAAATAATAAAAAATTTCATAATTAATAATATTATGAATAAGATATTAATTATTAATAAGTAGACTATAAAAAATTCATAGACAAGATATAGAATAGATATAACACACAATGCATTTTTTTGATTTGAAAGCTTTAGAATTCCTTTATTATTTTAATATCACTCTTAGTCGATTGAATGTAAAATAAAATTGCATTGTTATTAATAATTAAAATTAAAATTACATTTTACTATAAAATCACGAATAAAATGAATAAAATAATTGTTTTCTATATCTTTGTGGAGATTATTATAAAGTATTAACTGGTGTTTTTGCATGGAGAATATTATTACCCTTAATTTTTATACGTTCAACTTGATTTTAATACATAACTGTAAAAATAAATTTTTATTTTTAAAAATATTAATCCAACGAATATGATTGTTCTTTTTTTTTTTATTACGTACGTAAAATTTAACCATTCTTTGATAAAATTTTTGCAAACACAATAAATAAATTATTTACAATTACATGGTTTTCTAACACATTTCTGAATTATATTAGAAACAATAATATTTAACATTTATACCATATATTGGGAAATCCAATATTACAAAAAAGGCTTTGTTTACTAGTTATCTGCTAACAAGTTTTTTGTATAATAATAAAAACTGAAACAGTGTTATTATAACAGTATAGTTTCAACAGTTCGAAAGCATTATCCTCGTTAGTCGTTTAGCATCATTTAATGCGGTTATTACTTAAAAAGTTATTAATTAAAATATGATAATAAAATGTAATACAGAGGAAAAAATAGATATAATATTAATTTATAATGATGCTAAACGGAATAAAATAGTTCGAGTATATGAATTGTATAAAGAATTGTGAGTCTTGAATTATTCTTTTGTGCTACGTTTCGATAAATCATAATTTTGCAAAATAGACAATGTTAATCTAAACAATTTCAAGTGAAGAAATTGTTATTAGAAGCAGTGATATATAATCCAGAAATTAATTATTATGAAATTGTAAGAATATATATCGTAATAAAATCATTTTTTGTAAATGGATTTTACGACAAATTCGAGGTAATTCGATTTTTTCTTTGATAATTATTTAGAAACGAATCAATCTTTACTAATTATAAGGAATTAAATAGGCACAATGTGTATTATTGATACATCGAGAACTCAGAACTATCTTTGGAATATTATTGTGAAAAATAAAAAATAAAAAGAATTACCAAAAAATTATGTATATTATGAATATATGATATTTCTTTAAAATATTAATATTAACGAGATATCAGTATGATAACGGTTCATAATGCCAGAAGTGTAAAAAATATTTTAAATAATATTTTTCAACTAAATAGTGCACGTACTATTTGATCAGCTCAATTTCATCGATCAATTTCTTAATTTCAAATTCCATGAAATTCTGATAATAAGAAAGAACGATTACGAAATGCATTTTGTATTGTGTATTTGTACACACAATATTTTAATATGGACACACGCATTTCTACTAAACAAGGTAATTATTCTTCTCTTTCATTACTTTAAATTCTTCAAAATGAAATTCATTTGTTCGCTTTTAAACGAACGATATATTAAGTCGGTTTTAGAAAATAGATATTAATTTGTAAAAAAAATATGATGACTTTAAAAAAAATCTTAAAATAATCTTAAAATGACTTCCATAGAATTTTTTTCACCACCAAGATACATTATCCAATTATATTATATAATATAACATTTAAATTTCTTTAAATAATTTTTTTTCATCATTAGCGAAGATAATTTAAATATTTGATTCGAAATAACATCACGAATATTTTATGATTAAAGTCAAAATAAGAATATATTTGTAGTTTATTTTTATATTATTTTCTGTTTTCTTGTATTGAATATAATTTCTTACATTTATTATTTTAAATCGTATACCAAATACTCTGATTTTTTTTACAATTTCAAAACATGAAATAAGAAATCCCATTGAATATTTATCCAACGTTTATTCTATATCTCATGTATGTTATAACATTTAAATATTTTATAATTTCAGGCAATCATATTTATTAATACTTACGATAATCAATTTTGTCTGCTGATCTACAAAGAAAGTATACATCAATTCTTACCTCAATATTTCAACTATTATGCCCGTTTTAAACGCATCTAAATTATTTATTCAATTTCAATTGCATAATTTAAAATTGCGAGTAAATTTTATATTTATATTTAAAGTATATATATTTTATTCGTGAATATTCGAAATGTATTCATTAGCAAATGTGACAATTTCACGAAAATATGTATAGTACATTATTATGGACAGATGGGAAGTTATTCTTATATCAATATTATCTACGAACGGTAAGCCATATGCTTTTAATATAAATAACAGACTGAATAATATAGATCAATAATATGATTAAATATATTTTGTACCATAAATGAGATATAAAAAAAAAAAAATAGATGTGACATATTTTTTCATGTCACAAGAATATATTTATAACTTAATATTTATCTTCAGTATTACACGCGACATTATCGACGCAGTACAAAAAATAATCATAATTTAATAATGATTGAAAAATCTTATTTTATTATAAAAACTATAAATAAATATAGATCAAAACAGCTTGTGACAAACAAATTTATGTTTCTCGATTTGTTCATCTTTATATGTACACAATATAAACGATTATAGAACAGTTGATATAATAATTTATAATTCTGAACACATTTTTTAATTTAAAAAAATGAAGTTGATTTTAAAATCAATTTTATTTATCCCCATTATTCGATTTGTAAAAAAATAATTTGTATCATATAACATCTCCTTTCGAATCAAACAACTTTTGTTAAAATATTTTTTTGATAACTTTACTTCTTCGTTAGATATTCGTATTCAATTAAACGAAACATGAAACTTATAATTTTTGTAATTTCAGTCGCTTAAAGATTGTTTTATATTTTATTTTTCCATTTCGCGGATTCAAAGTTAAAACGAAAAATCATACATTTTTAAGTCGAATGAATATCATTTAACATATATGTAGATAGAATATGTATAATGCTTTCTCACTTTGGTATTACCGATTTTGATATAGTTCTATTCTAAAATAAAACATACTCTTATATTTTAGTTTAATTAGTTTAATTATACATACTTGTATTCTGTTGATTCAGGCATTTGTTGTCCCTTTAGAAAATGTGATAGCAACAGGTTTGGCTAATAAAGTAATTAATTATATTACTATTAGTAGAATATATGAATAAGAAAGATTCACGAAAAAAGCTAATTTACTTACTTTTGCTGTAACTTATTAAGATAAACGGCTTTCCTTTGTCTGTGATGTTTCATTTTCGAGAATTCTTCTCCCATGGTTTCTCCCATCATTAATATCGCTTAATTATTATTGGCATACCTTTTTATAATTTCTTCGAATATTTCTAAATCTTTCTTCTTTTCTATTAAACTTAATTTTGATTCATTTGATTGTCGCGCTACTTTATTTTCATCTTCATGTATTTGTACTTCTAATCTTATATTTTCTCACATTTCTTCGATGCATTTTGCACTTTCTTCGTCTATATTGGCTTTTTTTTCACAAGGCCGGATTGCATATCGTTTTTTAAAATTGCGTAGCCAACCTCGACTTGCGGCGAATGATGTTGATCCATGTTGACCGCAGATTTCCATTGCCTTCTTTTGTAATAATGAATCGGTTAATGGATTCCCTGTTGCTTGTTGCTATAAGAACCACATATATAAACGATTTTCTATATCCTCATTCAAGGATCTTCTTCTATTTTTGTGTTGCAATACGATTTCCAAAATTTGATAGAAGTTTATAGTCTCGATGAATCCGATGTATGACATCTCGTGAAATTCCATATTCGGGACATAACAGTTTCATTGATGTTCCTGTTTGCAATTTTTCAGCAATTATCATCTTCTGTTGTGTACCGAGAGAAAAATCCTTTTCTTATTTTGATTTTCTGCCATGATCAAATAAAAACACTGCACTTTCTTTACAGTTTTAAATAACACTTTTGATTCCTCGCGTTATTTAATAAATGTTAAAATAAAGTTGCATGCACTGATCCAAAATATTTCGATTCTTTGGATAATAACGTATTTGCGTTGGAAGAATTATTTTCTTATTTTTTAAAAAGAAACTCTAACAGTATTT